TCCTGAGGTCTCAGGCAAGTTTCCCAGTGTCCCAGTCTCAGGGGCTTTGCCTGAAAAATGTTGCTGATCCTCTCCCCTCTCAGGGTGCCAGGGTAGGAAGAAGGGCTGTGAGTGATCACATGCCCATCATGCGCACATCGAAAGCGGCCCACTTTACTCTTCAGAGTTGTCATCAGATGGCTTCATTTCCAGAAAATGAATGGCTCGCACCCCCAACTTCAACCTTCAACGCTAGCTACATCATGGCTTGAGCTCTGCTGGGCTGAACTGGGCATTCCTGATTACCCAGACACCTTCAAAGATGGAAGCAAAGAGGCCAGCCTTACCCCATCGAGGCTGCTATGTGCCCATAAACATTGTCTCTTCTTGGGAAATGTGACCTCAGAGGCCACTTCCCTACAGAAACAACTCATCTGTCTCCCTGACCGGCATCTTTGTGCCTGTCACCTCTCAGGACAATCAGTGACTATCCTTCTTTACACAGAGGTGGAAAGTCTTGCTCTGATTCCCATTTCTCAGATCAGGAAAAGGGAACAGAAGAGGCCAGGCCTTCCATCCTGCTGGGAAAAGTCAGAGCCAACATTTGAGCCCTGTAGCCTCCCACCTGCTCTTCCCTCCCAGGGCTGCCTTTGGTCCTGGATCACCATGCCCAGCTTGTCAGGCTCCCATCCAAGGCCCGGCCCTGCTGTCTTTGTTGGCATAAAGCACGCCTTGGGAAAGGCTCCAGTGATCACATGGGGCCTGGAGGGGGTGACTCAGATGAATTGGATCCCCTCTCTGGGGGTGAGGAACCTGAGATGGCCAGGGAGCCGGATGCTATGCTTGATCAGAGCGACATCCCAGCCACCTGCCTTTGGGGGTGTCAGCTGGCACCAACAGACTGTGTCCCTAGTCTGGTACTATGCTAAGTGCTTTCAATACAAAGACAGGCAGGGTGGGTAGGAGACAATCCTCCAGGCCTCAGAGGCAGTGCAGAGGTTGCATGTGGTCCAATTGGACTGGTCTCAAGTCCTACCTCTGACACTATCACTTAGCTCTGTGAGCCTGTCTCCTCAAATCACAACAGCATGCACAGTAGGTGCTACAAAGATGATGTGAGGCAGTACAAGGTCAGCTGTGGGCAGCCCTGGGCTCATAAGCTCCATACCCTTTGGAGATGGACTCCTCCCTTTTGTTCTGTGGTCCAGGTAGTAGAAAAAAAGGGATGCCATTAAGATACACACACACACCCTACCTCTGTGAGCCTGTCTCCTCAAATCACAACAGCATGCACAGTAGGTGCTACAAAGATGATGTGAGGCAGTACAAGGTCAGCTGTGGGCAGCCCTGGGCTCATAAGCTCCATACCCTTTGGAGATGGACTCCTCCCTTTTGTTCTGTGGTCCAGGTAGTAGAAAAAAAGGGATGCCATTAAGATACACACACACACACACACACACACACACACACACACACACACACACACAGAGAGAGAGAGAGAGAGAGAGAGAGAGAGAGAGAATTTCTATACAACTCTGCAGTAATTCTAGTCATGCTTATTCACAGATGGGATGGGGGATTTCACTTTTTATATCAAATTGCCCCACTTCTTATGTAACTCTTACCACTAGAATAAAGATGTGCAAGAATTATGCTGGTCTATGGTACCAAGTCACAATTCTAGGCACTTTTCATCAAGAGCAGTTAACCCTCATGACACCCTTCCTAGGAATGTCCTGGGATAATTTTATGGGTGTGTGCTACCATGCCCAATTTATTTAGTACTGGGACCAAACCGAGGACTTGATGCCTGCTAGGCAGATACTCTACCAACTGAGCTACATCCCCAGGCTTTGTGGAGAAATTTTATGGTTTCCATAACTTGAAGGAGGGGGTTGTTACTGGTATCCAGTGGGTAGCACCCAGGGGTGCCACTAAACTTCTTACAATATCCTGTGTAGCAAAAAATTATCAGGCCTTAAATGTCATTAATACTAAGCATGATGTAATATACTATAACTGCCATTTATTGAGTGTCACTTACTGACCCCAGTTCAGCACCAAGTTCTTGTAAACATTATCTTATTTAAAGCTACCTCTATTACTGTCATGTCCTCAGTGAAGAACTAGAGGCTCAGAGACAACAAGCCATTTTCCTAAGGTCACACAGCCAGTAAATGGAAGAGCCAGATACAGCTGCCTGAGCAAGAGACAGAGCCCTTCATCTTCCCACTCTATTATTTACAAGATATAGAATAAAGGTAAAGGCTGCAGTCCAGCTGCCTCATAGGGAGTCTGGAGACTCTAGCTGTGAAAGAGCCTGCCTCCTTCAGCTTCAAGGCCTTGGGCAAGTCCTCTCCTCCCCCTTTACCAGTTCCCCATCTGTCAAGTGAGCCTTGTACTTCACCATCTCAGTCTGTCATTCTTCAGGACAGGGGCCCCAGCACCAGCTCCAGCAGCCCCCAGCTGCATGAGGGCGGGGGCTGCCTCTTCCTAGTGCATCTATAGTTAATGAGCCTGCTTTGCAGGGACATGGGAGAGGCAGATAGGGATAGAGCAAGGCCTGACTCCACCTCTGAGCATATCCTCCCTAAGGGGAGGCAAGTTTCTCCGCTACCACCTGGCTAAGTCCAAAGGGGTCACCAAAGCATCCCTCCTCCGGCGGGAGGGGTGGGGCACTTAAGTGCTCAGGAGGAGGAAGGGTGGGAATACCCACTACCCCTACTCTGTGCTAAGCACTTCAAATAGAGCACAAAGCCCCAGGCACAGAATTCAGATTTCCTAGTCTACAGACAGGTGAACCAAGGTTCTGGAGCAGACTTCAGCAAGTCAGCCTGGAAGGAGAAACGGTGAGTGCTAGGGGAGGCATCCCACCCAGGCCAGGCTGGGTTCTCTAGTCCTGGCATCTCCCTGCCTGCTGGTGTGGCTCTGGATAAGTCAAAGTGCCGTTGTAGACCTCAGTTTCCATATCTGTAGACTGACGATGTCAGACAGATGACTTCAGGGTCCCTTTAAATTCTCACCCCTGTGTTCAGTCCTGCCAAATGTTCTCTCCTCCTCCCCCCTGTCTGTACAGTTTCACAGGTGGGGAGATGGGAATGCCAGCACCTAGCAGGAGTGGCTCTGGGGGTGGACGGACAAGGTTGGCCCTGTACAATCTCACATAACCTCTGATTTTTGCTCCACCTCTCACAGGACCTCCTGGACTAGAAGGGGGTCAGTTATGTTTTGGGATGAAAGGGACCAGGAGGTGGCCAATGTTTATCTCCATGGAAATCTTCTAGGTGCAAGCTAACACAGATATTTGCATATGTGGGGTGGGGGGAGCAGTTAGGACTCCCTACAACACAGAGTAAAGCAGTAATTTGGTTCCTGATTAGGTATCTTGAGGGACAGAGAATTCATTGCTTCCCAAGTTGGCTTACTCTATTTTCATCAATTTTTAGCAAAAAATCTTCCACTTCTGAAGTCTCCACGTTTGGGCCAGCTTAGGCCAGGGCTGGTCATTCATTCATTCATTTGTTCATTCTTCAACTTTTATTGATATGTTCTGTGGGCCAAGCCTGTGCTAGGCTTTGGGACTATAAATGTGCCAAATATAAGTCCATCCTTGTCCATATTTAATTGACTACTAGACTGGTTTCCCAAAGCCATGGAAATGGAATTATTGGGTTCAAATGGCTTGGCTTGAGAAAAGGATTCCAAGTTTAAACAAGCTTGGGAATCATTTTATTTATTAAAGTAGGTTTCTTTCCCACAAATTTCCCCAAGCCTTTAGCAGGCAAAGGTACACTGAGAATTCTCCAATGGAGAGAATATGGGAAGTATACAATATTGTCCAAATAAAGCTCAGCTTGGAATGCTTCCTTGAATCAACAAACAACACCACAACGTGTCTGAAGAGATGGCTCAGGGGTTAAGAGCACTGGCTGCTCTTGCAGAGGACCCAGGTTCAGTTCCCGGCCCCACAGTGGTTTCACAGTCATCTGAACTTCAGTTCAAGGGCTCCAACACCCTCTTCTGGCCTCTGCAGGCATCAAGCACACATGTGGTGCACATCCATACATATAGGCAAAACACTCATACACATAAATAAATAGATAAATAAATACCCCCTATACTTACTGATAGAGGACATTCAGGAAAATGCAGCTCTCTCTCTCTCTCTCTCTCTCTCTCTCTCTCTCTCTCTCTGTATTCTTTTTTGGTCAGTGGAGCTTGAGGAAGGCTTTGTTGGGGAGATGATTAAGTGGGTCCTTGAGAGTTGGGTAGGGTCTGGCCCTCTTGCCAGTGACAAAGGGGAGACTAGTTACAGTTTAAAGGAGACTAGTTACAGCCCAAAGTTGACTGTATTCCACTGAGTCTTCAAAGATTCTGATGTGGGTGATAGATCCAAAGAGGTCATCAAAAGTCCCTAGAGACTCCTAGAGCCCTGCCCCCTGCCTTCTTCTCCAATCCTCCCTGGGCCTTAAGTTTCCAAATCTTGAATCTTCAATTCCTGGTTCCACTTTCAATTGGTTCCTACTCTGATTTTAATCCAAAAATAGTTCTTGTATTATCTGAACTTGATCCCAATCTTAACCCCTCAGACATCCTGACTTAACTTTTGGCACTTAAACTTGTCCTCTGGGTAATTTGCTCATCTTGGGCTTAACCCTCATCTGCCCGGCACAACGGAGCCCTGTCACATTCTAGGTCCTGATGAACACCTGGTATGCCGCATCCCACAGTGTCCCCAAACCTGTCAGAGCTCGGTGTCTGCATCAGTGCAGTCCTGCTGAGGGCTATCTGTGACAGGGACCCTGCCCTCTCCCGGTGGCTCTGATACCTCACCCGGCTTCAGCCAGTACCTGGTCCGGCTCTGATCCTCTTTGTCCCCAACATCCCGTCCAAGGCACGGGTCTCCCACCCCAGATCACTCTCAAATCCAGATGCCCGAGGACCCCGCCCCCGGCCCCGCCCCCTGTCAGCAGCCCCGCCCCTCCGGCTTTCGGTCTAGCTGGGCCCGGCCCGCCACGCACCTGCAGCTCCTCGAAGGCATCGTCGATGCCGGTGACCTGGTGCTGCTCGTGCAGCGCCGGCTCGTCGCAGAAAAAGCAGAGCAGCGCTCGGTCGGTGAGGCAGAAGAGCTTGACCTTGTCGTGCGCCTGGCAGGGGCGTGCGGCGCGGCGCGCGTTGAGGATGGCGTCCAGCGGGAAGGCGCTGTAGCGTTCCACTATGTTGGCCAGCTTGAGGCTTGGCGCCAGCGCGGGCTCGGCGAACGTGCGGCGGCACTCGGGGCAGTCGCGGGAGCCCTGCGCCTCCTGCCGCACCCAGTGCTCGGTGATGCAGCGGCGGCAGAAGTAGTGCTCACAGCCCAGGCTCACCGGGTCCTGGTAGATGCTCAGGCAGATGGAGCAGAGCAGCTCGTCCTTGAGGCTGCATGCCATGGCGCCGCGGGCGGCGCGGAGGGGAGCCCGGGAGGCCGGTCAAGAGAGCGCGGCGCGATTGGGGGCGGCACCCAGGGACCAGGCCCTCGGGGACACAAACAGCCGCCGCCGGGGAGCACTGTCCCTGACGCGGGGGGCGCGGGGACTCGGAGCGGCGTGGGGGCCACCCGGGATGCGAGCCCGGGAGGACCGTGTCGAGGTAGTGGACCGCTCCGAGCGATGGGCGCTGGAGGGGAGAGGCCGAGGGTATCCGAGGGAAGGGGCTCCCGGCGCGGAGATGCTGGAGGCCCCGACAGTCCAAAGGGATGGGTGCTGCTAGGAGATCCGGGAGGGCGGCGGAGTCCACAGAGGGACTGAAATCCCCGGACCCCGGCAGCTGGGGGAGGGGGACAAGCTGGGGATGGGGAATTCTGCGGGAAGGAGAAGCCAGACCGAGCCGCCCCGCGGCTGTGCCCAGCGGAGCAGAGGAGGGATGCCGGCCCGCTCAGCTGCCCGGTCCCGGCTGCAGATCCCGGCCGGGCACGGCACCTTACCCGCGTCGGCTCAGCGGCCACCGCTTCGGTCCAGCACAGCCTCTCAACCCGGAACCAGCCTAACCTAGCCGCCAGCCGCCCGGGCTCCCTCTCCGCCCCCGCGGGCGGGACCTGGGCGGCTCCGCCCCCGCAGCGGGCGGGGGAGGGGCGTGGCCTCTAGGCTCCAGACCCCGCCCCGCCTCCAGCATCCTCCTGCCCCCAGGGACAAGAAAGCCAGCTGTTGTTCCTGTGGAGGGGCAGGGGTCTGTGTAGCATCCAGGTCTTGCTTAGAGGCCTCGAGGCAGAGGGCGAGGAGGACAGCAAATGCATAATAGAAGCTACACCAGGAGCGTCTCTCTTCAGCATTAATTTGATTTGAGAAAAATAATACTGAGCCTTAAGATAAGAATACGTTGTGCAGTCTGCACAGAGCACAATGTTTGCATAGATTATAACGATAAAACTGCAGAAATGCCCTGATGGCTGAGAGCAAGTTCCTAAAACCTCGGCCTATTTCCTCTTCACTTTCTTTTTTTTATATTTATTTTTATTTTGCATGTATGAGTGTATTGCCTGCATATGTGTAAATGCATCTGTGTTGTGCAGTGCTGGAGGAGGCCTGAAGAGGGCGCTGGATTCCCCTGGAACTGGAGTTATGGACGGTTGTTAGCTGCCATGTGGGTGCTGGGACTCAAACCCAGTTCCTCTGCAAGAGCAGCCAGTGCTCTTAACCCCTGAACCATCTCTCCAGCCCCACCTCTTCACTTTCTTATGTGAGCACTTGTAGGAAGAGTGTGGAGAGAGCCCTGGCTCATGTCTAGCTGCAGGGATTCCTGCCATTCAACCGTCAAACATTTCTGCATTGTTCTGTGTGTGTGTGTGGTGTGTGTGTGTGAACACATAGAGGCATGAAAGGGACGAGCCCATTGGGGGAAGTGCAAGTTATTCTACACAGTTGGGGTGGGGCGAGGAAGAGGTTTGGGTGATAGGAAAGGGATAGGGTCCTAGTAAAGAATTTCTTGACAGCATTGAGCTTTCAAGCTGGGAAATGACCTGGCTCCACTTGGGTTTCATGAAGTGTCAAAGATGCTCATTATATGGTGGGTACAGTGAAGGTCGTGACCCTTTCCCATGTATCTGCGTATGTGCAATGCTGGGCACAAATAAAAGTGTGCAGGTGAGCGGCAGTAGCAAAGCTGTGACTCGCAGGAGGAAGGAGACTGGGCCCCAGGGAGGTTGCTATTGTCCTAGTGCCTGCAGGGGGTCAGATCTGAGCTTGGCGCCTGACTGTGAGTCAGGAGACAGGCCTGAGGACTGAAAATGTTGACACTATGAAATGTAGTGATGGGCTGGATAAGGGAGTGACAGGGAAGGCATTGAGGGTATGTTGCATGGCTTTTCCTGCAGAGACATGAACAAAAATCTATTCACCCCAGACGGGGCAGCTATGGTACAGTGAACCAATGAGTTTATTGGGGTTACTTACAGAAGCATGGGTGATTCAAAGGCAGTTGCATCACTGAGGAACCCACTTCAGCATGAGTGACAACTCATGAAAGTTCCATCGCTAGAGTTCCCTGTACAACTTGCGGGGGCCGCTCAGCAAGCTTGAGCATCTCCTCTCCCTAATGCCTTGCATGCTTTGTTTACTTGCCGAGCCTTATGAGCTTCCCCCTCCTTCTAGGAGGAAATGCTTCTTCAGTCGGAGGAGATAACTACACGACAGCTTCTGCCTCTTCACCAGAGTTAAATTTTATTGAGACGCAATTTAAGGAAGAACTCAATGTCTAATTCTTGGCTGTTTGCATGTCCTCCATCACACCTGCATTTGACCTTAGTCTCATCATTGCCAGAAACAGGTTGGTGACTCAATAGACAACTATTTCTTGATCTTTCCTTGCACACAGAGCCTGGATTCTATTCAAATGGGTCCCTTTCCCATGTGACCACAGGAAGGTTAAAACCCAGCCCAGCTCCAGGAGTGAGTTGTGCTTGGTCCAAGTCCATCATGAGGTTGCATCCTTCTTGTTAGTGATGGGTTCATTGAGTCTGCTTGTAAAACCAAAGAGAAAGACTAAGGAGGAGAGATGTCTGGAAACAATCTCTTCACATGCGGAGTAAACATGTTGTTGAGTTTGTAACCAGTACATGAAGGAGAGTGAAGGGCCCAGGGCTTGTAAGGAAGAGGAGCTACTGCCTTGATGGAGAGCTTGGACTATTAGATATAGATGGTCTATCTTATGGCTTGCTTATTAAGCAAGTTTAATGGTGGCAGACTTTCCCTTGGCAACCGAAGGAATCCCTCCTGATATACTGACACACATACCTCCTTCTTTTGACAAACAGAGCAGAATCTAAATGATTGAAGCAATGGAAGAGAAATGATAAAAGCTTCATTATTCAACATGTATTTACTGATACTGACTTTAGACAGGCCTTTTACAAGGGGTATGGAATATCCTGTGAAGTTTATAGTCTGTGAGAAACAAGGAGAAATTCTTATTATAAGGCTCAGGAGAGATATTTTATTACATATGAGTCTCAAAGCAGTCTTAACCAGTATAGGTCATTATCTCCATTTTGCAAAGGAAGACCCCAAAGTCCATAAAAATGCAGGTGTAGAGGGGCTGGAGAGATGGTTCAGTGGTTAAGAACACTGACTGTTCTTATGGAAGACCCGGGTTTGAATCCCAGCACCCGCATGGCAGCTAACAACTGTCCATAACTCCAGTTCCAGGGGATCCGACAGGCTCTTCTGTCTTCCATGGGCATTGCAGGACATGGGTGCACTTACTTACATGCAGGCAATACACTTATACACATAAAATAAAAATAATAAAAAAATACAGGTGTAGAAATCGCAAGTTTTTCATCAGAATCCTTCCTCCTTGTTCTTCTTTGGTGTAGAGTAGCAGTTAGAAGAGTTGGCTGGTCTGCTAGAAACTGAATTTCCCAGCTTATCTTACAGTACCTTGTAACTAAGCTCTTTCCAATAGATCACAAATAAAAATCAGCATTTTGTTCTTCCATGATCCATTTCCTCTCCCCTTGAGTTGGAACACAGATGTGCTAGGGAGCCAGCTTCAGTAGTCCTTCCAAGGGACTGACAGAGCAAAGATATGGAAGGAACCTGGGCTTCTGAATAACCAGGTAGAATGGAACTGCCCACTGCCCTGGATGTGAACAAATGGTCTGAACTGAGACTTAGGGATCCTGACTACAGTGTATGCTACTTGTTCCATTCATAACCTAAGAAACATTAGGATTTTTTTCCCATGGGAAGCTCTGTAAAATATAGTTTTCAGGAAGGAAAAATAAAAAAAGGAAGACCCAAATATATAGACACTTAGACATGAACACTTGTAGGCTTACACATACACACAAGCTTGATTTTCATAACAAAAATTCTGCACAGTCATGTAACTAACTGTTCAGCTATGGGCTGGGATTGTATTATATAGCTCTGCTTATTATATTAACTTTATAATCAGAAAAATAAAAGTGTAATTGAGCCTCTTTATTTGTAGATTTCAGGCTTGTAAATTCACCTACTCAAAATTTTCATGTGGCCCCCAAATCAATAATTGATATACTTTTGCAGTTATGTGTGGACAGAGAGGTGGAAATTTTGAGTTGCTTATAGGTCCCTTTCTAGATGAAGCACAGACACTCTCTCTATTTCAGCTCTCATAGTATAAGCAAGTATCCCCTTTTGCAACCTACTTAGTGCCAACTCTTCTTTTCAGTTTTTTGCTTTTTTTTTTCTTGGTGATTTTGCTATTTAAAATGGTTCCAAGCCTACCACTCAAATGCTACTCAATGTCCCTAAATTCAAGAAGGCTATAATGTACCTTAGGAAGAAAATTTGTGTGTTCAATAAGCTTTGCTTAGACACAAGCTATAGCACTGTTATCTGTGAGTTTAATGTTTATGAATCAGCAATCTCTGTCTGTAGGTTTTGTACAGGTAGATCCAACCAACTCTTAATCAAAGATCTTTGAAAAAATAATTGCATTGGTGTTAAACATGAACAGACTTTTAAACTGTCATTTTCCCCTAAACAGTATAGTCTAAAACTGTTCACGTATCACTTACATTATGGCAGGTGCTATAAGTAACCTAGGGATGATTTAAAGTCTATGGGAGGATGTGTGTAGGTTATATACAAATACAATGTAACTTCATATGGGTTTGAGCACCCAAGGATTTTGGTTTGATGAAGGGGTCCCCAAGGATCTTGAGGGATGACCGTATATTTTAAATAAAGTATCTTTAAACCGAAACATGCATAAAATGAAGTTATGTATTGATCAGTGGCTGAAAATGTGCCCAGAGACTTGCAGGAACCGGGCCCCGTGTTTCCTCTCAGGACAATGACTCAGTATTTACTAATTCAGTTTTTTTGCAGCGACTTTATAGAACATAACTACTATGAATAATAAGATCAAGCTGTATTTAAAGTAGTTATGCGTAACAGCGTCTACCAGTAAAAGTGCCAACACCCACGTCCCTTCCATCTAAGTACCATTGACTCAGGCCACTGACAGCCGAGGGTGAATGCTGTCTGAGCAGCTCTCTAGGGTCTGGAACTGACTTGCATGCTGTTATATTATGGAAGGCTTGAGGCAGCTCCACATAGGTGACTTTGACTGTGTAAAACCAAAGCAAGTCGGCAATACCTGCTTCTTCATCTCCGAGCATGTTCCATTGTGGTGCATCTCTGCTCCCTGTTAGTCTTGACTTCCACTCCATTTGCAAGTATACAAGTGGTCTTACAGTTTCTGAGCCCTCCCTGTGGGATCATTCTGAGGTGGGCTCCCTCTCAGTTCTTCCCTAGCAGCCAAAGCCTTCCTGACTTCTGTGACTGAGGGAGAAACCCAGTTGCTTCTCGGCAGCGGGGGATCTTACAGAGCTCCTCCACGAGGACCTCTCCATTTCTAACCCCCTCAAGCCCACCAGGGTGTGTACTGAAATGCAAAGCTATGTGACATGAGACTGTGTGAAAGAAGCCCTGGATGAAGTGAACACACATCCAACCTCCTTCACCCTCCTTCCCTCTGGCCTCAGAGGGCAAGGCTGGCCTTCTGTCCCCCTGGGCTCTGCT